CTACTTTTCTGAAACTTGCAGGCCCACAATTGGTCCAGGTAAGATATAACGCTCTACCATTCATCTTCCTGACCTCTTGATTTCAACATTTTTTTGTGCTTGATTATTTTTATTTTTTTTCACAAATCTTATCTAATGCTTTTTGCTCGGATTGTGTGACTTGGAACATGTGTAGATGTTCATAGGAGACGGAGCAAAGCTCGTACGTGATGCCTTTCAGCTTGCAAAAGAGAAATCTCCCTGCATCATTTTTATAGACGAAATTGATGCAATTGGAACAAAGCGATTTGATAGGTAAGTTATTTTTCGCATTTGTTTCAGTTTTTAAGACTGTATTTGAAATATTTAAAGTCTTTGGTTTTTATTTGTACTCAGAATTGCCAAAGTCAATGGCCTCCCTCAATATACTCTTCCAACATTATTATTTTTTTTTTGGTACAGTGAAGTGAGTGGAGATAGGGAAGTGCAGCGTACTATGTTAGAATTGCTGAATCAACTAGATGGCTTCAGTAGTGATGACCGCATCAAGGTTTGTGTGGCTCATAGATTCTTTTCATGCCATTGGGAAGAGGGAAGATGTGTTTTTTTTTTAGGCTTCATCAGCAATATTCTAGCGTAGAGTGTCAAATGATGACAATAGTTATTAGGCGCTTGTAGAGTTGGTTAATTTCTGATTAGCACCTTATTATCATGTCATTTAAAATCAGGTCATAGCTGCAACAAATCGTGCTGACATTTTGGATCCTGCTCTCATGCGTTCTGGTCGTTTGGATCGTAAAATTGAGTTTCCACATCCTAGTGAAGAAGCAAGGGCTAGAATCTTGCAGGTATAACCCTTCAGAATTTCGTCTTCTTACATTTGTCTTTCCTCTATGTAACATTCTTACTGGATTTTCTGCTTCCAATCTTGTAGATCCACTCGCGGAAAATGAATGTTCATCCCGATGTCAATTTTGAAGAACTGGCTCGATCCACTGATGACTTTAATGGTGCCCAGCTAAAAGCTGTTTGTGTGGAGGCAGGCATGCTAGCCCTTCGCCGCGACGCAACTGAAGTGCTCTATCCTTTTATGCACTTTTGCTTTTCGCATTCCTTTTAGACACTAATATATGGGGAACTCCCCCTAGTTTGGAATTTTAAAGTAGCCATGAAATTAATTACGGTCCATTGCCAGGTGAACCATGAAGACTTTAACGAAGGCATCATTCAAGTTCAGGCCAAGAAGAAGGCAAGCTTAAACTACTATGCATAAGGAGGATCGAGTATGAAGGTCATGGATATTGATTCAGGTTCAGGCAAAAAGAAAATCTAGGCTTGAAACCGAAGAGCTTTTGAATCGATGCTGGCATGGTGAATGTGTAATTTGGCTTGGTTTCATATTTCAATGTTTTTTTATTTATTTACTTATATATGTCATGCACTTGGCCATATACCCGGTGAAACGTGAATATGCCTTTAGTTGTAGAAGTCTGAAAGTCCTGGGATTTACTTTGATATATTTTTAGATTCTAGAACGCTGAACAGCTCGGTTCGGAATAGCACTTCTATGGACCACCGGTTTGTTGGAAATTTATTTATGCTTACATTTTACTCTGTTTTCGGATTGCAGTTTCTGTAGGAAATGATTTTGCGATGTTTTCTAGAGGTGATAAGTTGCAAAGCATGTTAATACTAGATCGAAGTGCTTTCGTAAAGAGGCTTTGTTTTTGTTGTTCTCTTCTTGCATTTTACTCGTTAACCTTTTTTTTTTTCTAGGGTCAAACGGAAAATTTATTAATCACAAATAATATCGTTTAATACAGTACGAAAAATAAACAATGGCATATAATCAAGTCATAATTTATTCTCAGAAGAAGTAAAAGCACGAGTAGTTAACGTAGTGTAACAAACTGAACCACTAGTGTAACAAACTGAACCACAACGAGTTAGGTTGAAGATGTCTCTGATGTCTTCTAAAAGACTAGCTTCGGTAGACCGATTCAAGGGAACTTGAACCGCTTGAACTGCATTGGCAGCAGTAGACTCGATCACCCAATTTGAGAAACCATGGTTATGGGCAAATTTAGCCCCCCTCGGATGGCTAAACATTCAGCGTTGTGGGGCCTAAAGCAACCTGCAAGACGGAGAGAAACTGCTGCCAAAACTGTCCCACGATTGTCTCGAGCAACTATATAACGTAATCAGAAAAAGTCAAAACTGATGCATCTACATTCACATTCACCATGTCTCTTTCCTGGGCTCGCCAAGCCAATCTAGGAATAGGCCCAGAATGATTTTTAGAGGAATCAATCTGAGGTAATCTTGACAAATACCTCTTAAAAATACATGAATCATGATTTTTATTCTTTGTTCTTGATTTATAACATTTTTAGTCAAATAATTACACTAACAAAAATGGTATTTATCAAGAGGAAAGGGTAGAAGTTCAGACTCGCGCACTCTTAAGAGTAAATTCTCCATTTTTTCACCAATCTGTTGACAGGAAATATAGTCCCCACAAATCTGACTTACCCGGTCCCAAACTTCTGATGGCGAGTTGAAAACCTAGGAGTTCCGAGTAGTTGAGAGACTCCAACTAAGCATATAAAAAAGCTCTAGAAGCTCCCTATTGCGCTGTGGTGATAAAAATAAACATAGAGAGGCAAACGGGCCTCCCCAAAACAACTTCAAAGTCTCCCCAAGTGTGCTGCAAGACCATACCTCCCTAGCAAACCAAGATGACCAGAGAGCATGAGTAGCATCTTCATTTGCTTCCATACGACACAAGCACATTAGTTGAGTAAGAAAGCCTACGGGAAGCCAAGTTCATCTTTACTACTAGAGAATCATGAAAAGACCTCCATACATGGATTTTGACCTTGCTAGGAACATGACAAGCCCAGAGTTTCTTCCACCAAGCTACGTCAGTCCCTGGCCCCGAAACACATCCCTCGCTCCTTCTTGTCATCTCTAGTTTGTACCCTGATCGCACCGAATAGAGCCCTTTACAATCAAAGTGCCACATGAGAACATCATCACCCCCTCGAGATCCAAGCGGTATGCTGGAAAGAAGCTCTCTATCCACTTCCCATAAATGAGTACATAAAGCCAGAGTAGACCAACTTTCAGCAGCCATTAAATCAACCACACGCAAATTAGAATTTGCTTCAGAATGGCTAGTAATTGGTTTAAAAGAAAAGGGCCTAGGCAACCAAGGGTCATTAAAAACTGGAACACGACATCCATTGCCAATCCTCCATCTCACTCCCGCCTTTAACAAATCGCGACCCCATAAAATACTCCGCCAAAGGTAAGATGAATTGTGCCCGACTTGCTCGTCCATGAAGTCTATATTTGCGAAATAGTTTGCCTTCAAAACACGACCCATTAGAGAATTCCGGGCCGTAAGAATGCGCCATCCCTGTTTGGCGATGAGGGCCCGATCGAAAGCCGCCATATCACGAGAACCCATACCACCATCTACTTCTCGTCGGCATAAATATAGCACTGAGAGATTGGAGGTCATCGCAAAGTGTAGTCGGTAATTTGAACACACGGAAACTAACTTACCTCGGTAAGGAATAACCTCGGTAGCTTGGGTCATAGCCTTTATCAAGATCTCTCTATCCCCCACGGAAAATAACTTACCTTTCCATAATTGCAATTTTCTCCAAAGCTTCTCTCGAATACTATTAAACAGTCGACTGTGCCCAACAAAAGCCGGGAGTCCAAGGTAAAAATCATGTGCAACATTGCCATTAAGACCCAACAAAGAAAGAATCATACCTTTCCGACTTCATCTGGACTGAAATTAATCGACATTTTTGGAGGTTAATTGATTGGCCTAACGTTTGTTCATACTTCTCCAGAACTCCCTTAATAGCTTGACAATTCCTCTTATCTGCATGAAAAAAAATAATACTATTGTCGGCAAAGAGTAGGTGAGATTGTTGCGGCGCTTGTCTTGCACACTTAATGCCCCGCAAGGTTCCTTCACTCTCCGCTTGACGTAGTAACAATGAAAAGCATTCCCCACATAGCAAAAACAGATAAGGTGGTAAAGGACACCCCTGACGGATACCTCGGTAAGGAATAACCTTCCCTACTACTGGTTCTCCATTAATCAAAAAAGAAAATTGGGATGTCTCGACACAATCCATAACTTTGTTAATCCAAGAGACGGAGAAACCCAGCTTCCACATAATAGCTCTCAAAAACTGCATCGTACGCTTCACTCCTATCGAGCTTTAGCACCATATATCCTTTTCTGCCACATGTCTTCCTTCGAAGAGTATGCAAAGTCTCAAATGCCACAATAATATTATCCGTGATAAGTTGGTCAAGAACAAATGCATTTTGTTGATCCGAAATAATCCAAGGAAGGTGAGCCTTCAACCGATTAGCTAGTGCTTTAGCAATGATTTTGTAAACCACATTACACAAACTAATCAGTCTAAAGTTCGAGTGTTTGTTTTTAATTAACTATGTGGGCTTATATGTTAATTATTGTGTATTAAAAGCTATCACCCATTTAAAGTGATCAAATGAAATTTTATATATTTTGGGTTTTAATGTATTTAATTAAGTGTGAGTCTTTTATGTGTATAGATCAAATCATTATTTTTATTTTTATGCTGAGTTAAATTAGAAATAATAAAAGTTAATAGGCAGTCAACTTATACGATAGTCTTCTAATCACATGTACCATTTATTCTGTCTGACATCTCATCATTAAAGCGAATAGAGAGAATCCAAGGGAAACTCTAAGGACTACGTGTAGATTTGCAAGACTAACCGCAAATCTTGTGATTTGCTTCCATCATGACTGATTCAAGTATGCTTTCGCTTTAGATCATAAATTCTTGGTGATCTAACATGAGCGATCCGGTATTGATGAAGATTCTCACCCTAAAGTAATTTTTAATTGTATCAGAGTCCTTTTGTGTTGAATAATGGAAGAATTCCGGATTCAATTGGTTTTATATTTTTATTTTAATGAATCCGGATAAAGTTTCAAAAATTTTTATGAATATATGAATTTGAATTCATGTATATATGTTTCATATTACTGTGAATTCGTGATGATTTGATATTAGATTAGTGTTTGTTGATGTATGTTTGAGGATTGAGGACATTAAGGAAGGAACTTAGGGTTGAAAATTCGCAATTTGGGGATTTGGAATGCGAAATTTTACCCAAAATTTTGATCAGAAAGTCGCACATCAACTGCCACATTGTGACCTAGTGCTGCGGTGCTGTTTTTTCAACGCTGCAGCGCTGAGGCCACGGCTTTAGGGCAAGTTGTTGCACGACTTCAACAATCAAAGTGCACGTTCAAAGCCCTTTTTTTTAGCAATGGTGTTAATAACCCAAAGGATAATCAAAGGCCCAAAAGAATTAAACGGTCACATGGGCTAACGGCTAGTATCCAATGGGGCTGGTAAAAAGATCCAGTTGGGTTAGGTTGACCCGACCCGATCCAGCCCTAATAGTCAATAGTTAGCTTTGACTGTTGACTTTACCCTTTTTTTTGGTGCATTTTTAAATTCAAATTTTGGTACTATTATTTCTTTAAAGATGTATTTTAAAATGAATTAATGGAAGCAACATGTTGCAAAAGTAATCTATTTTGTGGAAATTAATTTAATTTAGAATATTAAAGTGGTTGTGTGTGTATTTCACGCGGATATTGGCCGGCCCAAAGGCATGTCAATATTTGATCGAACTACATACGCACCTGTGGTGATAAGCATGTGGCGATTATTCGGTGTAACGTGAGCAATAAATCGGTCCAAAGAAAGGTTTATTGTTTGACATGTCTTATCATCAGTGTTTGATTACTACACGAAGAGTACCATTTACAAGTTAATGTTTATGTCCAAAGACTAAATATTGATGTCGTGCCCAATATCTTGTGATGGGCCCTACCATTATTTGAATTTATTATTTGCATAATATGGTACTTATGTGAGTTTTATTTTGTTTTGTTTGCTTTGTTCTCTATTCAGTTACTAGTTCTGCTGCAAATATTTTTGCTAGCATAAATTCTATTCCTATGCTTAATGCCACCAACTTCAAGGCATGGCAAGAGAACGTCTTGATTGTTCTCGGAGTTATGGACCTAAACCTTGCGTTAAGGATCGATCGGCCTGCAGCTCTTACTGACAAGAGGGAAATGACAAAGTGAAAACGATCGAATCGCATAAGTCTAATGGTCATGAAGCGTGCTATTCTAGAAGCATTTCGGGGCACTATGTCTGATAAGGTTGATACGGCTAAAGGTATCCTTGAGGATCTTGAGAAGAGGTTTACCATGAATGGAAAGGCTGAAACTAGTACACTTTTGCCAAACCTTATCTCAATGAGGTTTAAAGGGAAAGGAAACATAAGGGAGTACATTATGGAAATGTCTCACCTTGCTTCAAAACTGAAGGCACTCAAGTTGGAATTATCTGAGGACTTTTTAGTGCACTTGGTTTTGATATCCCTTCCGGCACAGTTCGGTCAATTTAAGGTGAGCTATGACTGTCAAAAAGACTCTTGGTCCCTTAATGAGCTCATCTCACACTATGTCTAGGAAGAAGAAAGGTTGAAGCATGAGAAGGCAGAAAGTGCTCATTTAGTCACTACCTCTAAGGATAAGAAGAAAAAGAAGAGAAAGAA